TGTGTGAACTGTGAAACTAATTTTATGATTGTAAAATTAACGCTAATTTAACGTCTGTTGAGTTTGGCGTCAGTTTTTGTTTAAAGAAAAAGGATCTTGCTCTTGAACAAACAGGTCTGTCTCTGTAGCAGTCCTTTCCAAAATGTTGTCAGACACAACCTGCAGGTTCACACCATGGAGTCTGGTGGGATTGGCGATAGTGATTTTAGGGCTGTTTTTGGTGAAACAAAAAGGATCCTACTCTCAAATAAAGAGGTCTATCTCTGTAGGGGCCCTTTCCATACTGTTGTCAGACACTTAGAATAGCAGTTTGAGCCTGTCAGTGGCAAAAACAAACACTTTAGAAGACATACATTGACGACGCAAACACACCCTGAGTGTTTACATTACAGCCTGTTTTACCAGCTGCAGCCCTCTCGCTCAATACTGGCTCAGTTTCAAAAACTGATGCTCCCATCAGTCACTTAGACACAAAAACATGGGAAAATAGGGCCCAGGTTGAAAATACTCATGTCACCCTTTAAGCTCAGAGTTAGTTGCAGGTTGTTGAAAGGGTGTGATGGGATCGGGAGGTGAACATATCCACTGGATCCCCTCTAATGTGCTTCACTCCAGGCCAATATCCAGTCGATAGAAGCACAGTGATGTATTAAAACTCACCTCAACACAAGTCAACAATTCAAATTTTTAGGTCAGACAAACAACAACAGACAGCTTAGTGCCTGTGAAGAGATACCCAGTTCTTAGTGTAATGACTATAGAGGAGATGGGAGTGGATGAACCTGTGGAAGAGTGAATGAGGAAGCCAAAGACAGGCATATGTAAAATGTGTATGCATCTGTGTGCCTGTGCATACTTCTCTATTTTTCTAAAATGTTGTAATTCAAGGCAGAAAGGCAATCCCTCGAGGCTGCCGTCACAGCTGGGGAGTGAGTGTGACCGCTTAATCTTATCGTCTGTGTGACTGACTGCCAGCTCGTGCCACAACTCCACGCAGGACGACTCATGAGCAGATAAGAAGTGTAAACTGGTCTGTGTCCACTGCGG